GTAGTAGAAGACAAGCCGTAAGGGCCGCGAAGAGGTGACGGTCAACGGAGGAAGTGGCGCGGGAGGGTGATGCCGGGAGGGCGCGTGAGGTGTGGAAAGGTGGGAGCAAGGGTGAAGGAGCTCGGAATCGGGTGGGGAGGCCGCAGGGGAGTTGTAGACAAGCCAAGCAGCGCGATGTCTGGTTAACGGTAGCCGAAGACCAGGGCGATATCTGGTTGACGGGAGGGCACGCGGAACGGCGGGGGGCGGGGGGCGGTGCGAAGTCCAGGAGGCCTGCACGGGGTGAGCGCCTTTCAGAGCCGTTCCCCGTGCAGGTTTGGGAGCGCGATGTCCCACAGGGACGGAGGCTTGGTGGCGAGCTCTGTCATCCCACCCAAGCTCGGCTGTATTCCATGTCCAGGGATATGGGGCAGGACCAAGCTGTTGGAGTCTCTGTAAGCATTGTTGTGAGCTGGGCTTTCGGGTTACCGGCTTGCTTTTCAACTTTATAAGCTTAACGTGTCTCTCCGAGTGCCTCCGCTCCTGGAAGATGCGGTCAGGCACCCGACCAGGCCGAAACCCCTCAAGCTAAAAAGCCGTAACGGTACCGGCCTTCTCCACCTTGTCACCGCCGTCCATGGTATCCAGCACATCCTGAGAACTCTCAGAATCAGGCCCAGCCCAAACAGAGTTGGCCCCAGGGGCTGAAGGCATGTCGGGAACCTTGCGAAAACTGCCGCGCTTTGCGGATTTGGGCGGGGGGGAATCTGGCCTTGCGAAGTCGGTGACGCAGACACAGTGTGATGACCTGCGAGGGACACCCGGTAAAAAAGCCAGGGCCTGCTTGGGGCAACTCCAGCTCGGGCATCCCCCAGCGGCACTTTCTACGTGCCAGGGTACCCTTTCCGTGAAGCGCCCGGTTTCCTTCCCGAAAGTGACATCACTGCTGGTTCTTGGTCAACTGTGGTGGCTGCCCGGCCCTGTCTGTTCCGTTGTTCCGCGATGGTTTTTGCCTTGTCCATGGTGTGTCCGAGCTTGTTCTATTTATCTTGTCACACGCCAGCTTGCTGCCTTTACTTGTTGTGCCATGACTCTTCCACTCGTGTGCACTCCATCCCGCGTCATTGTCTCTCGGCTGCGCTTCCTGTTTCCTTCGTTTGCGGGTTTCGCTAGGATACTCATGCCATCTTTACCTCTATCCCTTTCCCTTGTTGCTCAGCTGCACTCAGCTGGCTCCTCCGCTCGAATCTGGCACCAAGGAGTGCCATGACGCTTGTGGCGTGGAGCTGAAGACATGGATGTGGTTGCTTTCCTTTCTCCTCCTCCTCCACCCTTAGAGCTCTAAAGATTTCAGTTCTGGCGTACCAAGATGCCTCAAACAATTATTTGGTCTGGCATTGGCTGGCTACTAACTTGAAGGGCATGTACCAGGAAGACTCCTTAGATTTGGGGGCAAATTCTGGAGATTCTGGCGGTAGGATCCAACACTCACCCTTCCTGTGGCACAGTCTTTGGCCTTTCCCTCCCACTTGAATCTGGGCCATCGTAAGGGGAGTCCCCCTTTATTGCTACCAGTATGGCTGAAGAAGATGATGGTTCTCAAACTCCCAAAAACTCCCATCCAGGAACCCGAAGCTCCCCCCAACCTCTCCCCGGAATCCACCTTGCCCACGTCGTCGGAGGTCACCTCCGTTCGTCCGTCGAAGGCGCAATAGGCCCGGGCTGCGCGGTTGGTGACCTCGCCGGCAAGTTTGGGATGGTCTTGGGATGCTTTTGAGGGGGGGTTTCGAGGGCTCGGAGCTTTTGCAGCTGGGCCGCGATATCACCTCGGAGTCCGTCGATGTTGAGCTCACTGCAGACCTCTCAGACATCCGCCAAGATCAGCTTCTCTTAGGAGAAAGCGCGAAAGCAGCAAGCTTTATCGACTCCCGCCTCCGAAATCTTGCGGGCAAGTTCCGGAGGCGTCTTCACCTGCCACAGACTGGGCTTAGGGCGGTTGTAGAATCAACGATCATGCAAGAATGCAGCTTTTTGGGGCCCAGGTTGTGATGAGATGACTGAGTCAAAGTTCTGAAGGGGAACTAAAAACCCTAAACCCTAAACCCTAAACCCTAAACCCTAAACCCTAAACCCTAAACCCTAAACCCTAAACCCTAAACCCTAAACCCTAAACCCTAAACCCTACACCTAAACCCTAACTCCAGCCGCACCAACCGGCTTGCAATGACGTCAGTTGCAAGGGCTGGCAATTCATGCACAACAAAAACATCACTTCCCCAAGCCTCTTTCAGGCGCGTCTGTGCCTGGCGAGACGCAAAGGTTGCAGTCGCAAAGGCCCTACTTTGTTGACGAGCCGGTTGCAGACAAATGCGAATGATATGAATACATGTGCTGCTTAAGTTCAAGTTGGTGTGATTTTGGTCTCTCAGTTCGATTGACACCAGGAGAATCTTTGCCCTGAAAAAAAGCTTTGCGAAGAATCCCTAAATCCTAAACCCTAAACCCTAATGCCTCCAGGATGGAGGTTGCAAACTCGCTGTTGTCGCCCACATACTGCTCTCTGAAGCCCTGGGCGAGGATGGGAAGGTGCGGGGAGGTTTGGGGCGGGGGGTGGGGGAGGTGGGGGGAGTGGGGGGGAGAGGGGGGAAGTGGGGGCGGGGGGGGGGGGGGGGGGGGGGGCACTCAGACCGGCATGGTCTCATTCTTTCCACAAGACACGCACTTGGAGTCTTTTCAAGTTCGCGAGCATGAGGATCAGGCCACGGGGTCGTCAGCAAACTCGCGGGTGCTTTCCTTGCAGTATGATTCTGGCGGAGAAGCCCCGCATCCCAAGTCTTCAAAGTGCGCTTGTAGATTTACGGTCCGTAGCCCAGAATCGAAACATCCTCAAGTCCTCAACCTGAGTCCTTAAACCAACCGAAAGCGCAGTCATGTGCTTTGAGAGAGGGCCGACAGACATTGATGGTTTCCGGGCTTTGTACAGGCGGTTGCAGGTCTGTGTTGCTCTGGAAGCGTAGCGACTTATCTTATTGTCTGACGAAGTCTTTTGACGCCCATGCACCGTACGTGTTCTGAAGCATTGAAGCACGTAGCATAGCAAAAGCATGCTTTGCATCCTCAACACCTGCAGAGCGGGATACGTCTTTCAAAGAGTTGCCCGGCCAGGAAGAATCCAGGTTCGCTATGTCATGAAATCCCGACTGATGCAGCTCAGGGACCACAATCTTCACGCGCAGCTCGGGATCTCTCTCCGTCCTTGTCTGCACATGCCATGTTTGGACTTTTCGTCGATCTTACGGAGGTAATCCTACAGGGCGCGTTTCGTGCCGTCTTTATGAGTCGTATTGCTTCCAAAGCCGCCGCCTGTTTATACCCCCTAAACCCTAAACCCTCAACCCTGAACCCTGAACCCTAAACCCTAGACCCCAGACCCTAGACCCTAAACCCTATTACCTTTCCCAAATCTTCACGCTCTTCTTCCGTATACTGGATGCTTGCCACACTCACGCCGCCATGCTTGGCATACGCTCCCAAACATTTGCGTACACAATTAGAATGGTCCAGGCGTGTGATACTCTTTTATCCGGGGAAGAAGGGGGAACGTATCTCCTCTTCATTGGCGTGTACAACCCAAAACATGCGCGAGGGGTTGCGGGGAAGATTCAAACAGTCCGAGGAAGAGGGGGGTGGCTTGGACTCCTTCCGTGCGGAAAAGAATTCGATGAGAGTTTTTCTTTATCGGAGCTAGCATCCTAAACCTTCTTGAACCTTTAAGTGTTTTAAACGTCTGTCACTCTTCTTTGTTGTCACCTAGTCTTCTTGTTGTCTTCCTCTCTTTCGATGGAGAAGAAAAGCATGTTGTCACATAGTCCGGCCCTCAATATGCGCAAAACCCAGTGAGACTGGCAGGGCTTGGATTTTGGATGGTGCTAGTGTGAGGGGATGAGGAGGTCGAATCCCAAACTCGGCTCGACCTGTCTCATGCAAACGCAGTACTTCTTAGCTTCTTGTGCATGCATTTCTGTATTTGTGTTGATTTTTTTACTCTCAGTCTCCGTTTCTTTCGTGGTTTTCGCAAGTACATGAGATGCTGAACCCTAAACCCTAAACACTAAACGCCAGGGCCCTGGCCGGATCAGCGCGTGCATGCCGAAGCGGTCAAGCCTCAGTTGCTTGGGGCTTCATCTGGGCAATGTGCATGTGGTGGTTTCCGAAATTGGGGGTTCCTAGTGGGGCCTATTTTGGGGATCCCATATTTTCGAAAACCCCCATGTCGGCCAGAGTTTGTTTTGAGGTCTTCATGCAATGCGGCGCAAAGATGCTTTTTGAACCTGGGCTTTCAACCTGATCTTCAGCAAGCCTTGAACCGTCGTCCCTGAAGCCTCAACATCTACCCCTAACCCCGAAACCTTTCACCCTAATTTCTCCTTAAACCCTAAACCCTAGACCCTTACAGTCATGTCCGTGGGCCACCTACAATTTCAACCAATGTCGTACGTGGAGGGCAAGCGCAGTTGGTTTCGCTGCGCTGGGAATCCGGAGTGCCCAGCTGTCCGGGTCTTTACCGCAGGGTTTCCTGTTAGGTACACCCGCAAACCCTAAACCCTAAACCCTACACCCTAAACCCCCTAAACCAACCCTAATCCTCTCAGCAGATCCAGGCAGCAGTTGCGGTCGGAGCTCACCTTCCTCGGGGTTGCCTGGCCAGGGGAGGCTTCGAACCCTGCAACTCCTTCTGAAGCATTTTTTAGGGTTTAGGGTAAAGGGTTTAGGGTGTGCCTCTCTAGGTGTCGATTTCAACTTGAACAGTCCCCAAACCGATACCTAGCTCCTGGTTCCGGGATTTGTTGCTGCAGAGTCTTTGCGGGTCCAGGCCACAGGGCAGCTATGCTTGGGGCAAACGCACCATGATGCCCTAAAGCTTTGTTGCTCTTTCAGGATGGACGAGGCGCAGCGTTGACAACCGCCGCAAGCCACTTAGGCATGATCCACACAAGCTCCTCTCCGAAGCAGCATCCCTACCAGGAATCTCCAGTAGGGCCCCTAATATTCGAAAACACGCCCGCTTCAGAACTCTTGAGGCAAGGATAATGCTGCGCAGGGCCGACCACTCCCAACGAGGATGAACTTGGCGGGGTGGCGGATACTGATACCCTGGCGCAAGCCACGCTCACTCGTAGTTACCTTCTGGCTTTCTTTTGTGGTTTGGAATATGGGTTTAAGCATGGTAGCGGCTTGGACGCTCATGTAGCAGACAACGTAGTTTGAGGGTTAGCATGTCTGTAGATGTCAAACTTCCGAGTTTTAGGGTGCCCGGTGACACTTTCATGCTCAAGAAACTCCTCTGTTGTTCGGCCTGTTGGTGAGCGCTGAAGTGTACGCAAACGGTTATGCGCACTGCAAGGTCGACCCCAAAACGGAGCCCATCGTATGAAAACTATTTGTTACGACTGTCAAACTCTCGACACAAGCCCAAATGAATATCCTTGAGGTCATCTTGGCCGCTTGGGCTCCTCCGGTGCTTCATAAACCTGTGGCTGCCAAGTTCCGAGAGCTGACCTTGAGACCTTGACTTTCGCCCCCAGAACGAGAAAGCATAACACGTTTGAGCAGGAGCGGAGCTGGGTGGAGCGAAGCCCTTGGTCGACCACCAAGAACAAGACTCTCGAAAGTTGAACAGGCGCGTGGATTCTGTAACAAGCACTTCGCGCTTAACGCGTGAACCATCCATGATCTTCGAGATTCGTTTTGTTCAATCCCAGCAAAGTTCCTGGCTGATTTTCACATGGACCACCTAAAGCAACTAAAGCAGCATTGACGAGCAATGCGGCAATCCGGCATGACGCGTGAGAGTGGCTGGAACTGAACTTGAATCTGGTAACATACTGCTGCTGTTGCATTTACTTGCTAGCAAGACGTCGGCCAAAGTTACAGAAAACTGAACTGGGGAAGTGCCTAACTCGCGGTGCAAAAAACATTATCCAACAGATCAATTCGAGCGGAACATGAGTTTACCCAGGATGGTCTCCCAGACTTGACTTTAGCTTTCTGCTAAATTTACATAAGGCCTGTTGAAAACAGGTGAAACTTTTGCTAAACCTTGTGGGTTCTCAGTCGTTTTTGAATATTCGTGTTCCGGCTAGCGATGATGTACTGAACGTTTGAGCCGGGTACAACATCGCCTTGATTTTGCAGACAGGCAGAATTCAACGATTTCATTGGAGAAGGGTTTCCCGGTACTACTTCCAGGGGTTGAGCGTGACGGGTTGCAGTTTGCTGTATTACCCAAAAAAAAGAAAACCCGAAACCCTAAACCCTAAACCCTAAACCCTAAACCCTAAACCCTAACGGGAAGGAACGCCCACATCCTCAGTACAGGATGCCTCGCGCTCCACTGTGTTCCAGCCGCCAGCCGCACTGTCCAGCAGCACATCCACGAGGTGATCATCCAGCAGGTTCACCTCCGTGCCGTCCGAAAACCCTGAACCCACACTGAACTTTCAACCCGAAACCCTAAACCCTAAACCCTAAACCCTAAACCCTAAACCCTAAACCCTAAACCCTAAACCCTAAACCCTAAACCCTAAACCCTAAACCCTGCCGGTCTTCCCCTAGCGTTGCCCGAAGATAAGAAATCAGTCAGCATGTCCACAAGACCAACCCTTGGCACACCCTCTTGATCGTTTTTGAAGAAGGCCCAGGCTACCGTTGGGACTAAGCATAGTAGTAGTAACAACAACAATAACAACAACAACAACAACAACAACAACAACAATGACAATGACAATGACAATGACAATGACAATGACAATAACAATAATAACAATCATAACAATCATAACAATCATAACAATAATAACAATACTAACAATAATAACAATAATAACAATAATAACAATCATAACAATCATAACAGTCATAACAATAATAACAATAATAACAATAATAACAATAATAACAATAATAACAATAATAACAATAATAACAATAATAACAATAATAACAATAATAACAATAATAACAATAATAACAATAATAACAATAATAACAATAATAACAATAATAACAGTCATAACAATCATAACAATCATAACAATCATAACAATCATAACAATCATAACAATCATAACAATCATAACAATCATAACAATCATAACAATCATAACAATCATAACAATCATAACAATCATAACAATCATAACAAATAACATAACAATAATCATAACAATCATAACAATCATAACAATCATAACAATCATAACAATCATAACAATCATAACAATCATAACAATCATAACAATCATAACAATCATAACAATCATAACAATCATAACAATAGTAACAATAATGACAATAATGACACTAATAACAATAACAACAATAATAACAATGATAACAATAATAACAATAATAGCAATAATAACAATAAAAACAATAACAACAATAACAGCAATAATAAGAATGATAAGAAAATAACAATAATAATAATAATAGTGACGATAATAATCATAACAATAAAATATAAATGAAAATAATAATAACAATAATGGCTCACAAGGCTGCCTCGTCCACGTAGAGGATGCCGCGGTTGGCTTTGGCAAGCAAGCCGGGCTCGAAGGCCTGGCTTTCGGTGTTGAGGGGTTTAGGGTTTAGGGTTTAGGGCTTAGGGTTTAAGGTTTAGGGTTTAGGGTTTAGAGGTGGGACTCATGGTTCCTGATTGGGTTGCCGGCTTAAGGCAACTTTAGCAGAACTTTTAACAGCTATGGCTTTTGGGAGACTGACAGGCTCCCACCCGTGGAGCCTCGCCTTCAAGATGCCCGTGTAACCCGCCCGGGAAGCTCAACAGTTCGACAGACCGTGCGACATGTCCTGAACGACCTGAGTTACAACAACAAATTTGAAATGGGCTGGTGCCTCCCTCAATGTAGCCCCGCCACATCGCCCACCTTCTTGCCCTGAGTCAAGGCCTTTTCGATGTCAATGGTTCCACCTCAGCGTGAATGCACAAAGTGCGGGCTGCTAGCAGCCTTAACAGGTAACCCCATCGGTCGACAATGACCCGACTCGTTGAGACCCGGGATTGAAGTTAAGGGTGTGCGCTTGCAGAGGTTGGGTTCAGGTCAAGTCACGCCTTAGGGCCTAAACCCTAAACCCTAAACCCTAAACCCTAAACCCTAAACCCTAAACCCTAAACCCTAAACCCTAAACCCTAAACCCTAAACCCTAAACCCTAAACCCTAAACCCTAAACCCTAAACCCTAAACCCTAAACCCTAAACCTACGACCTTGCTCAATTGCTCAAGGCCTGCAAGCCCAACGTTGTATCTCTCGAGGCCTGCCCTCTGCAGCCGATGCCACGTGCATGCCCTGGAAATGTCCGACCACCTCACAACTGCGCTTGGCACGGCGCAGACGCGGTCTTCTGTGGCACCGAGGGGCAAGTCAATCCTGAGAAACCACGAAACCGCAAGCTGATGATGTTGAGTTGATTTGGGGCATCGAAGTAATACTGAATACCCCGTTTTTGGAATCCTTCGTGCAGGCTTCAAACTGTTCCTGAATGTGGTCGCACATGCACAGCTCGCAGGTCAAGCCAGCACCCCAAAAACAACCACAGAGGTATCTTTCTCTCTTTTTCTCTAACACAGCTCTCAGTAGATGACCTCTTGAACATGCGGTGAGAACAGCGCGTCTGTTCAAGTGCCACCTTCGAGCCGCGCGATGCGAAACTGTCCGATAGACACATTGTGAGGATGGATTTCAGTCAGCGACTGGAGTTCCCCCAATTTGTTCATGTATCCGACGACCCAGTCGGGAGGGGGGGGGGAGGGGGTCCAGAACCGCACCTCCTTTGACTCGCCACCCTCCTCGCAGCCAGCTTTACTTTAGAGACTGGCGAGGCGCTCGACCCCTCCTCGCGCCATGAGATGCTTAAAGGACGTGAATAGGGCTGCCTGAAAGGTTTAAAACGGAGGCGCTCGGAGCCTTGAGGCGGGGGTTGAGGCTGAACCGGGCATCAAGGTCCCGCCAGGTCCGCCGGTGATTCCCACAGGCGGAAGGCGTCTCACCGTAAGAATCAACCCGTGCTACCATTCCGACCAGCCAACCAACCAACCAACCAACCACTGGAATTGGCTCAGCGCACGGCATGGGTACCTTCTTGTAATTTAGCGGAAGATCCTCTCCGCCAGCCTCGTCGCGATGGCAATTGCAAGGAGCGGGGGGAGGCTGGTGCACTGGCACTCTTCAAGATTCGCACGCTGAATGTCAAACCGTCCCAAACTGAGTGGATGTATGACTTGATGAGAGCTCACATCCCTTGGCTCATTCCCCACGTCCAGCATTTTTAGCCGACACTTTTTGAACCCAAAACGGCAAGAACAGCCACCATTCATGTAGCACATGCTGAAACAATCCTGAGGTACACGAGTTAACTAAGCAGCAAAAACTGCCCAGGGCCGCCTTGCGATCACGGACCTCTTGGCTCATCACCTCTTCCTTTCCGCTTTAGTGCCATGGTTTGGTTCAGGGGGGGCCGTGGGGAGGAGAGCGGGCTCTGGGATTTGCATTCGATTAGAGTCTTGCTTGGATTCGGGAGATTTGGGCTTCGGGCTTGTGAGATATCCCTCCACGCAACCCCCGGACGCCTCCATTCCTGGTACGGATGTCACACTCAAGGACCCAAAAAAAAACAGCAACTGACACGAACTCTGACGACCGCTCCTCCTCTGGCGAGGAGTTGTAAGGGTCATCCGCGACGCAGGGAATCTCGGGGAGCAGGTCCACGAGCGCTGGGCAGGAGAGCGCTTTCGTAGCTCGGGGCTTAGAGGTCTCTTCGAGGTAAGGTACTAACATGTCTCCAAATTTCCCAAACCGCTTCTGGACTCACAGCGACTAAGTCCTGAGACGGCTTCCCGCTCTCTCCCCCCCCTTCCACTCCCTACGAACAACGGATCCCATCCCCAAAATCGTTACCCAATCAACCCCACATTCATTCGGAAAGCGCGGAAAGATTGAATTCTAAAAGCCCAGTTGTGCATGTCCAATCCAGAGGTCGCTAAGCCCCCAGAGCCCAATGTTCATTTTCCCGCAGGCACTAGCACGTGACTCAACCCCCCCAATGGAATGAATAGCTTCAAGTGATCCCAGATTCAGGTCCTGGATGGCATTTACGAGAGGAACCATCAACATGACCATGATGGCGTGTGGATGCGCTCCGAAAACCCAAACCCATATACCTGCGGCCCTCAACTATCGCGACTTCACACCTTGAAGAATGTGCAGACAAGTCACAAAGATCCGACAAGTTTAGAGTTTGGGGAGTACAAAGATGAGATGTCCCGACGGTCGCAAAGGTGGAGCATCACCAGAATCGGGAAAGCTTCATGGGGTTCCGGTTTGCCCTTTCCCGAAAAACAGAATCAGAAATGAAGCAGTCGGCCTCGAATGGTAGTCGTCTTTCCAGTTCCGCGATCTCCCATGATCATCACCCCGCCAATCTGCAAAACACAACTAAACGTTACTGTGCATGCTCTGTGCGTGCTCTGCCGCTGTACTTTCACAGAACAGGCACCCCGACCTACCCACGCACCACCTCTCAGTAATACCCTCTTCGTGTATTGCTTCTTCAAACCGTTTAAGGCCATTGGACCATTGTGCGGCATCCAAGACGCTTTTCAACTGGCATCTGAGCATAACCAAAGCCCTCTTCTACCAAGAGCTTGCTTAGGCATTTCACATCTGTGTCGCTCTTTTTGGGCACAATCCCTTATTGGGGGCCCGCAGTACGGGAATGGAATGGGTAACAGACCACGTGAGCCCAGTTTGGTTGGCCAACAGGGAATCTCCAAAGGCAAAGCGCTTCCAGCCTTTGGGTCGATGACGTTGAGGATCAGAGACAGCTTCATCTCCTTGGCGAAGATTTAGGGTTTAGGGTTTAGGGTTTAGGGTTTAGGGTTTAGGGTTTAGGGTTTAGGGTTTAGGGTTTAGGGTTTAGGGTTTAGGGTTTAGGGGGGCTCTTGGGTGTGGCGAGGTGGTGTGTTGCCTCGATATCACACGAGCAAACCCGTTGTGTGACAGGACTTCTGTTTGACGGGCTAGCGCGGCAGGCGCTTGTGTGCACGCGGGGCGCATTTCGCTGCGTTGCGGCGCAAGCTGTGGTGTTGAGGGGAAAGCACATTCTCCGCTTGTGAGCCACGATTAGCCTGTTTTCATGGGGCGGATTGGACTTCAAGAACATCTGGATGGGTCTGCTTCGATGTGGTAGCGTGCTTCTCGTGTCTCCGCCTCGTGGACGTCTGAGCGAAGAATTGTCGTTTTACAAGTTCAAAATGCTTAGGATGCCTTGGGTTGCTGGAAAGTCAACTTTATAATGCTAGTACATGTCAGTCGTAGTACGCATCGCATATCAATTGAAGTGGTACAGGGTTTGTTGGAGCGAACGAAACATCCCACACTGTACAGGGTCTTGGATTGAACAAAATGCAAATCAGACGGTTGCAGGGAGGGTATGGATTTTTACATATGTTATTGAAACAGGACATCGCAAATCACGTGGCGTGGTGTGGCTTGCGTGTCCAGTGTACTAAAAGAAATCACGTGGAGTGACAAAGCACAGGCGCAAAAATGAGGTGAGTACTGTTCTGTGTTCGGCAACCTGCCTCAGAAACCGCCAGCCCAACTAGCAAAACCTTTCAAGGTGGCTGGGCACAAGGCAGCCTGTCCAACGATGGCCGAGAATGGGAAGACCGGCCTAGTCATTGCGGGTTCTCAAGGTGCCTGAGGGCAAAGGCATCTAAGTTCAAGCGCAGTCCCGTAGTCACTCCGTAGCTATCTCTGTAAGTCATCGGGTTTCGGTTTGGGGCGTTTCTCCGAAAACCTCCTACAGAGCCAAGGCGGATGCGATGCTGTTCACGAAGAGGCAGAAGGGTATTTCTGGCCCGGCGTCTAGAGACCAAGCTGTAAGGCTGTTGGGACCTATGATTCGACCTGCCTGCAAAAGGGAAGTAGATCAGATTCGAGTAAGGGCAACAGCTGCTGCTTTCACCAGAAGCTGGACAAGGGGATATCGAAGGCATTGGCCCGCCTCTCGTTCTTGGTCTTTGTCTTTTCCTTCTCTGCCACGGCGCAGCACTGGATCCTGGTGCCCCGACACCTAAAGCCCTTGAGGTGTGGAGGCTTGGCACTTCGGGAACTGTAGTTTTTGACAGCGACGTTCATCCTTGCACAGCTACGTACACTTGAAAATATAATCGAAGCCACTTGCACCTCCTGCACCTCCTAAAGTAGAACATCTCGCTTCGAATGTTGTCTTGGAGTTGTCAGTTTCATGTGAGTGTCAATTGACACACTGAACTTCAAAGGTCACTGCCTGTGGTACTCTTGCAGAATGAAACGGTTTGGAGAGCCAAGTCACATGCGCCGTGCCTTTTTCTCGTTTCAACGCGAGATGCTCTCAGATGGTCAACGTCAGGGCTGGCAGCTTGCTGCTTTACAAATCATCCTGAAGCTTTACAAATCATCCTTCAGCTTCAGGGCAGCGTTACAAATCCCGCAGCTGCAATTCAAATGGTCCTGACGTAGCTCGTTAAGCTTCAAAGGTCTTTGCTAGCGCACTTGCCCATTGCCGCGGAGTCCACGGTCTGTGGCCCGCTGCCTGATGACACACGGGAATATTACCCACGGACATCATCTTCATGGGACATCACCCATGAAAGACTAGTCTCCACTGAGCCTGAGCCACGATTCGATGAACAGTGACCTTGATTCAACGCCATCTTGGCCACCACATGGCTAATCAAACTGGATGACAATGGCCTAAAATGATGTAGATGTCACTGGCCGAAAATGAGCTATGGTGTTTTCCCTATAATATATACAAATAATTCAAGACCCTTCCGCGGAGTGTCCGCGAGTTTCCGCGCAGGATATGTTGGCAAATTCAGACGGGGCACCACGCAGAGCTTCCGCGGACCCTCCGCAGGATTCGGGGCCCAATCGTTTCCGCAAAGATTCCGTGCCAGCGGCCGGCGATGTCGGAAGGCGGGGCGCCGCTCGGCGGCACGGGTACGGCGCGGTTGCCTTCGTTTAGGGTTAAGAATTTAGGGTTTTCGACAAATAGTCTTCGGACCGAGCACCACAATGCAAGAGGGACGGTGACCGTCACCGGTCACACGCCAAGCCCCGCGTTGAAGGGTGGCCGCGTCGCTGCAGCTTCGGGAACTCCTTATAGGGGGCGACATCCTAAACCCTGAACCCTAAACCCTAAACCCTAAACATGGGCAGGACATCGGGGGTTCAGGGGCCCAGGTGGACATGGCAGCTCTGAAGGCGATCTTGATTCACCTCCTGGGCTTTACGCCTCTGCTGCCTTATGGTCTTCTCTTACCTTAAGCAATCTACGAGTGCATTCCCAGCACCAAAACCGGAACTCGTGACGTCTGTGAAAGGATGCTATCTCTGCCACCCTCCCTCCCCTGTGAACAGCAGAAGAACGCGTCGCTGCCGTCGCTTCATCCAAGCTGGCAAAAACGCGCCAAGGGAGCGCTTCTGCGAGCTTCCGCGGCCCCAGTGGGAGCACCGAACTACAAATATCAAGGCTTCATATAAACCGCTATGAACCTCAACAGAATCGCGGCTCAAGTGCACTGCGGCTCAAGTGCACTGGTTCGTAATGGCATTGGAGCCGGTGCAATACTGACTGCCCACGGTGTCAAAGACAAGATCAAGGGCCTGTTTGTATGCTGCACCTGCCACAGAACCATCGCAGCAAGCAGCATCCTTTAAACATTGGCTGTACTTCTCCGCCTCGGGGCAAAGAGCAGCAGCTGCTGCGGCAGCATCCGTAGGACTGCTCTGGGAGACATCGGCCCATGCATTTGCACAGTCTGTTGCTGCACTCACTGAGCAAACCCGCATGTCAGGGTTGCACGGGTTCGTGACGGCGTTGGAGCCCGTGCAAAGACTACCCGTCACCGTTGTGAAGACCTGGTCAAGGGCAATTTTATACGACAAGAGTGATGTCTCACCGCAGCACCCAGCATCTGTCAAGCACTGGCTGTACTTCTCAAACTCGGGGCAAAGGGAGGCAGCATCCGACGAAAATGCGCTCCGTGCAGTAGCATAAGCACTTTCGCAATTTGCTGCTACATCTGTCGAGCAAACGGACATGTCCGAGCAAGGGTTCGTAATGGCATCGGAGCCGGTGCACCATTTACTGAGAGTCAATGCCGCATTGAATTTCCCAATGTAGGTGGATCCAGGCATCCAATCATACTGTTCCTGTGCACCACTCACACAGCACTGAGCATCTTTTAGACATTGGCCATACTTCTGAAGCTCAGGGCAGAATGCGGCTTTCGCGGCAGCATCTACTTCGAAGTCGCCGATTGCAGCGCTCCAGGTCATAGCAGCAGTCAGAGCTTGCTCTGCAGCACGCCAGGCCGGGTCACAAACGTCGGCGGCCGTCTCGGCCTGGCAGACCCAACGGTGAGAATCACAGACTTGGCTGTAATCGTGGCTGGACGTCTCTGCGAAGGTAGCTGCGTTGAAGTTCACACAAGCTCCACCGCCCTGGCATTGGTTGGAGTCATGATTCCACTGGCAGCAGCCCAGCCACATGCTGATAGTGTCATTCCATGCCATGTGCTGGGCATTCTTCTCGCAACACAGATTCTCATCAGGGTCACCATCTGCGCACGAGACCTGAGAAGTAACACTATCACCTGTATTCACCCTGCCATCATCACCCTCATCCTCCCCGCAACCCATCAAGGTGAAAGAAGCACCGAGCGCCAGCCAAAAGAACAGCTGGCGTAGACTGCATGGGCGGCAAAGTCCCGTCAT